ACACACACGCACACACACACCCTTTCTTTAGTGCTTATGCTTTCACTTCTTACTCCTAGCCGGTTGATTTTCAGATCCCACTGACCATATGTTAATAGATATTTTATATATTCTGTATTTAATAGTTTAAACATTTAAACAATAGATACTGTTAGTGAACAAAATATCAAAACAAAATCAACTGCTCACGGATGCCGGCAGAACAAGGTCGTGTGCATGACTGACAGCATGAAGCCTGCCCTGAAGGACATCGCGTTCAGCAGCGTTTATCAAACCCACCATATCACGATCATTCGAACATCAAACGGCTTGACAATTACTAAGACCGAAATAATAAAGAGTAATTTAACAGCTATACCAACAAAAATATAAATATTTAAAATATATAAAACAATAAGTTGTTTGAAGCCGTCAGCTCACCATGGCTCCCTCGCGTACTCCTCCATTTTGTTCTTTTCCTTTGCACTGACGTAATCAAACACGTGCTGTTGCTGCGGGTGACGTCAGGTTATTCGCGTGTTCGTTTGCGGTCTTCTTCTTCTGTTTTTTGGCGTGTTACAGCCTGTGTGCATATCGCCACCTACTTTTGCTGTTATGCAGTCATGGTTTATTTATTATCGATTTATTCCTTGTTTTTGCGTTTCCTGTTCTTACACACGTATATACACAAATATTCCTACTTAAATAATTATTCGATGCTCTCTTTTGCGGTCTCGTTCTTTGTGATCGTTGTATAGAGGCCCCTCTAGTGGCAGCATTTCTACCAACTGCAACCACTGACAGTAAGAAATTAAGCAGAGCTATCCAAAATGCGTGAACTCCATCTGGTCCAGAGGCCCCCACACATTGTTTTCACCAGGGATTAAACAAATGTAGTAGGTCTAGCTGTAGGCCAGGGGTGGCCAAACTCGGTCCTGGAGGGCCAGTGTCCTGCAGAGTTTAGCTCCAATTTGCCTCAACACACCTGCCTGGTATGCCTAGTAAGAGCTTGATTAGCTGGTTCAGGTGTGTCTAATTGGGGTTGGATCTAAACTCTGCAGGACATCGGCCCTCCAGGACCGAGTTTGGGCACCCCTGCAGTAGGCATAGGCTAATTGTGCTTTTAAATTTGGCTATTGCTCATTTTGTCTTGTAATTGAGATTATATATTACAATTACTCCTGAAAAACTTTAGCATCTCACAATTACCATGTTTTATTTTGAAATGGAAGTTGTCAAGTGGCTAATAAAACTGAGCTTGTCCTTTATAGTAGAGCTTTTTTAATGGGGAGTTGGAGCAACTTTATGAATTAGATGGCTCTGCATTAAAACATAACTCAAGAATCTCTCTCTCTCCCTCATGTCGCCTTTAAGTCATTGCTCTGAGTCTGACAGGCTGTTGGATGTTTCCATTATTAGGAAGGGGAAAGGAATGAGATGCAGGCTGAGCCTGCATTGAGAAATTACCAAATATAGACATTTCAGCAGTGCTGAGGGTTAGTTTGGGGCAATCAAAATATAAACTAGCTTGCTTCGATTCCAATCAACTTTCAAACTCTGAAGGAGAAGTTTACTTCTAAAAGACTCTGAAAATGATGAACAGACCTTTGCAATCCAGCAGTTACGAAGTTAATCTATGAAGTAATCTATACATTGCAATAAGTATCTGCTATAAATTTGAAGAGTATAATTCTACAAGAAAAGATTTTTAAATGTTTAACCTGTGACCCAGTTGGATGTAATTTGCAGTGTTACCTCACAAGTGGCCTTAACGATAAAAAGTGTGTTCCTGTGTCCCACATAGCCTTCATGTATAGTTCTTTATTCTAGTGAACAAATGAGCTAAGCAGAATTACGTGGCATTTGCAACAATGCATTAGATCACTGACTTTTCTAGGAACTCATTGTAGCTCTGGAAGCGTGCTACAGCCCTTTATTAGGATCTGTGAGATCATATGAAGAGCTATTCACTAACACCATAATAATTAATCCTATCTATGGTTCTGATCTCTAAAACTTTTACTGCATTTATATATCCTCATAAAATGACTAGGAAACTAAAAAGATTAATTCAGTTACTTAGTATTGTTTTAGGTTATATGACTCTGGATGACTATGGAATAGTCATCATTTACTCACTCCATCATTTACTCATTACAAAACTAGTTCTTCCATCAGTGGAGCATATAAGAAAATATGACAGAATTTTAATTTTTGGGTGGAGTACCCCTTTAAGGAGTTTGTCTTGATGTAAACGCACCAGTGATAACCAGAGGCGGACAAAGTATTCAACTCCATTACTTGAGTGAAAGTACAGATACTGCTGGTCAAATATTACTCCATTACAAGTAAAAGTTGTAAAGACAGATTTTTACTTAAGTCAAAGTACGGAAGTACTTGCTTTTAAAAGTACTTAAGTACCAAAAGTAAATTTCCTTTTTTATGTCAATGCACTGTTTTATTGTTGTACGTAGTATTTGCAATACCTCTGAAGCAACTTACAATACATTACACCTACTGAATACACTGACTAGCTTGTAGTATCTTTGTAATAAAAAGCTTTTAGAATGTTAAAAACCCTAGTGGGAAAAACTAAACAAAACAACAACAAAAAAAATATTATTTAACACCCCTACCCACCCCCACAAAAGCAGGACGGTAGTGATCTCACACAGCTCTTCACTAGATGTGCTCTTGAAGAGACTTTCATACAAGCATGAAAATATATCGTCTTCAAAGCATGTAAGGTACATTACCCTTTTTTGTGCAGAGATTGCTTCCATTCACAAAGTAAAAACTTGCTACACTTTTACGTTTTTTCTTTTGATAAATTACAAATGGATGGTAAAAATTACACTTGACAGTGATCAACATGTATATACTCAAAGGATTACATACAATGTTAAAGGAAAACTCAAAAATCAAAATAAATATTGTATGTTTAGGCAGTCATATTCACATCTGATTATCCATCGCTTTCTCTTGAATGCTGTAATCCTGTTCTCTTTCACACTCAATCATTCAAAACAAGGTATTAAAAAATCTGTAGTACCATGGAAACTATACCTTTATTTGTGATTGTTTAGAATCCTACCTTTATTCCCTGATCAGCAAAAGCTTTTACTATAGAGATTCCCAAACCCAAAATAACTAGGATAAAATACAGACAATTATTGTTTCTTACATTGCTCAATTCAGTCAGCTGTAAGAAGATCCAATTCTACTGCAGAAACAAACATCTTCTGAACATCCACACATACTGTTGTAAAGCTATCATATGAAATGATTCATTTAGTGCAAATGACAAGCAAAGAATCAACCCCACCATTCCATAGGCCACTGAAGACTCTGAGCACCCATGACTGCCCAACACTTTCATTTCTTTCTATCGTCCAGTGTATTTTGTACAAAGACTCCTGGGTAGAAGTTGTGCATTCAATTATATATGAGTCCTTGCATGTCTTCCATACTATAGGGCAGCAGTAAGACTCTGTATGGAAGATTCTGAGTAATGATCTTCTCAAGGTCTGTGAGATGTCTGTCCTTTCATTCCTGTCTTTTTCTTCACCCATAACTATCTCTCTGCATTGCTGGATTATTGCAAGAGCTTTGGTAATGCAACCTGCGAAAAAAAAAAGATTAATGGTGAGTTAAAATGTCCAACATTTTCTCAGGGAAAAAGCTCTGAATATGAGACCCAAATTCCCAATGAGTCCATGGTAATGTTTTAGGATAATTCCAAAAATGTAACTTGCAATATTGTAGATTTATATATGAGCTATATATATATATATATATAAAAATTATTTCCTACCTTTTTGAGCTGTTTGATATTGCTGTCTCTAATGGAAGCCAGAAGTTGGTCCCTTGAGTTTTGAGCTCCTCCTCTTCCACTACTCCTACCGTCTAGCTTCCTTTGTGACACAGGTGTCAGGGAGTTCTTCAGGAAATCTCCGTCTAGCATTGGAGGCGGAGGCGGTGGTGGTCCTCCAGGTGGTGGTGGTGGAGGAGGTGGTCCACCACCAAGCCCACTGACCCTTTTCTTATGAGTCAACTTGGGTGACGGGGCGGGTGACGGTATGGGAGAAGGTATAGGAGATGGCCTGGGCGAAGCTCTCGGGGAGCTTTTACCAAAGCCAGGTTTTGGAACTTCTAATGAGTCTTTCTTGTCTCCAGTGCCTTGGGCTTGAGCCTGCTTCTGTTCCTGCAGCCGCTTTTGCCGCTGACGGTCCATATTGCGACTCAGAATACTGGTCATGGTCATACGAGGCCCAGCTAACTCAAAGTGGTAGCCCAATTTCAGAAGAGTTGTGTTTTCTTTCAAGATTTTGGTCATCTCCATCTCGGACTTTCCTCCGATGATGTGTCGCTGGTTGTGGAAGCGTAACTCAGTGAGGGTGGAGTTGTGTTGGAGGGCATGGATCAAGGCCATAACGCCTTTGCTAGTAAGAAGATTGGAGTCCAAATTGATGCTAGTGATGCTTTTGTTATTGCGCAAGGTCTCTGCAATAGCATAAGCCACATGGTCATCGGCTCGGCAGTTAGCCAAAGAAAACACTTTGATGTGTGTGTTGGTTTTAAGGGCCTCTGAGAACTGAATAAGCGTTTTGGTTTTTATGACCTCAGAATTGTTCACATTGAGGTCAGTCATGCTTGGATCGTTGCGACGAACTCTCTCCAGATATCCATCAAACATGCTGGCTGACTCATCCTCCTCTTCCTCCTCTTTTGTCTTACTTTTTGAAATAGTGTCTGAGACACAGTTTCCAGTTTTCTCTTCCTTAATGGGTTCATGAACTTCTTTTACAATTTCATTTTGTTTCTGAACATCCCCTGTTCCCTTATCGATTATTGATTTTTCATTGAATTCTTGTGTCTTCCTCACAGCTTTTTCGGGTTCTTTCTCTGTATTTTTAGGAAGTTTCTTTACTTCCAACAAGTGGCTCTCTTTCACCTTTTCACTTAACCTTTTTATTTTGTTTTCTTCATTGTCCTTCTTCTCTTCTTTCACTTGATCTTCAAGAACCTGATTTTGTTTTTCCTCTAATCTGGACGAATAGCCTCTAGTTTTGTTTTCCTCTCTCTTCCTAATCTCTCCCTTTCTCTCCCTTTCCTTCTCCTCTTTCTCCTTTATCCTAGAAATCATCTCCTTTGCTCTACTTTCCCCAGAGTCCCTTTTCCAACTGTCTTCCTTTCTATTTTTCTCTTTACTATCCTCCTTCTTCTCCTGAAGCTTGGATATTAATTCTTTGGTTTTGCTGCTACTACTTTCTCTCATCTCTCTTCTATCTTTGAATTTACTCCTATCATTTTGATCCTTCACCTCTACTTTCTTCTCACTCTCCTCGTCCTTCCTAGAAAGGGCAGATGGGCCAACTTGGTCATCTTTGCTGCCCCCTGTGACTCTGCGGGTCCTGTCCTCTATTCTAGCATCACATTTAGAGAAGGAAGAGGTGGAGGGGGTCCTCTGAAGTCCTCCATCTTTGCTATCAGATGCGGAGGTATTCTTCTCTTGGCTCAGGCCCATCTTACGCAGGTACTCTTGCTTCCGGCTCTCCTTCTTCGGCTCTCCCTGAGGATCAAACATGAATGAATTATGGACAAACAAGGTAACATATGCAACAAATGTTATATATATATTTTTTGTTTTAGAGGAGCCAACTAGAGGAAATGCCAGTGGCTTAAGCCTACATATCAACATTAAAATGCTCAAATGAAGCCTGTGCTTCGACAGATGGTTAAACACAATCTGTAGTGCATGATCACTGGATGTTTACACTATGCACAGTCGGTTGTTTTATAGTGAAGATGTTAACTTGCACAGTGGCCGAGTGTTTGATTTGTGAGCAACACTGTTTTGCACTGGAAAGCTCCAGCCTTGGCAGACTTATCCTTAAAAGGCAGTGAGCAAAGGAGCAATCAACAAGGAACTTCAACCGGGCCAACATTTCAAGAGACTTTTAACATCCAAAGATAGATATGTCTCCATTAGATGTATCTTAGGGTTATTTCTCCTGTTTGTATTATGCCTCAAAAAGTAAATATTTAAATAGGCCTACCCACCATCACCACTTTACAGTTACAGTAATTTGTGAAAGTTGTAAAACGCGTAAGATGTAAAAATCAGCTTACTTTTGCTGAAGACATACAAGGGTCATACAATTAGGCTACATCTATATTGAAAACATGTCAACATCATAAAAATGGGAAGCCAGGTTATTTTATTGTATTTATTTATTTTGCCATGTCTTTCAAACGCCTGCTGTTTTAAGCATGTTGGTTTAAACTCAAGAATTCACATTTTTATAGATGAACTTGTTAGGTAGTGAATATTTTACCTCTGTTGACAGGTTTCTCTGGAAGCGGGATCTGAATTCATCGGTCTGGCTGCTCAGTTGTGATTCCTTTTTAACTGGCGCGGTTGGTTTTAAATCCGTTTGGTCCACAACGATTATTTCACTCGGATCTGGATCGGGAACGACAGAAACCTCCTTCTGCAGCTCCTCCATTTCTTCGGGCGACAGGTTTGACAGCAAACTGTCGAGGTCCGGATCCTCACTCACCTGTCGCCCGGTTTTCGTGAGTCCCCTCACTTTCCTCCGGGACATAGTTGCGTTCAGAAGTGACACAGACTGATGTAGTATTTGCTGAAGATATTCTGGTGATTTTCACTTATTTTCCCGTTTGAAAAAACTATTCATAAACAGTTAAAGTTTAAAATGAAGGAGGATGAAAAGAGTCAGGCTGAAGCCTTTCTGGAAACACGAGGAGCAGCGCCAGACGCGATGGAGTATCAGCTCAAGTTTGTGGTGTTTGGACATTCCTTGAAATCCATCGCGAGCTCCTGCCCATATTTAGATGGGGGTACATAGTCCTTTAAAGGCAATTGGGAAGGCTATGGTTTACTAAAACTCAAAAGTATCCCAGAAACAAACGGTTACTTCCTGGTCACTGAGGAAATCAGGATTCCTGGAGTAGGCTACTGACAGTATTTTTCCAGTGATGTTATAGAAAGTTATAGAAATAGGTTGGATACTATAATAGGCTGATGTGCTATTACAGGATGTGATTCAATAGAATAGCCTAGTAGTATATTCATAAATTTGGAGAGATATTTAATTCTAGTAAATTAGTGGATGCAAGCAAGCCACACCACAATATATGACTGTGTCTTAGCACAAATCATTGGATAATTCACTTCTCTTTTTTTTCGTCTTATTAAAGGGGTCATATGATGTTGCTAAAAAGAACATTATTTTGTGTATTTGGTGTAATGAAATGTGTTTATGCTGTTTAAGGTTAAAAAAACACATTATTTTCATTGTACATTATTGTTTCTCCTCTATGCCCCGCCTTTCTGAAACGCATCAATTTTTACAAAGCTCATCGGTCTGAAAAGCGAGGTATGCTGTGATTGGCCAGCTATCCAGTGCGTTATGATTGGCTGAATACCTCAAGTGTGTGACGGAAATGTTACGCCCCTACCATACTGTCAAATTCATGCTGGGCAAAAATTAGGCGACATTAAATAATGACAGTAGGCCAATGTTGATTTCGGGTGCAGCATTAATGGAGACGGCATGCAAAGTCAAATCTGTTTTTATTGTAAAAAGAGAATTATGCAATACTCCTTCAATTAGACCTCTCTTATAGGATGATTAGTGTAAGTTCAAACACTAGTAGCCTATTAATCGCCTTTTTTCCAAGTTGAAAATACCTGTTAATATTCCACATTGTAAAAATTCCTCTTTATAGATCCTTTTCTTATTGGTACTTCACATTTCAAAGTGACAAATACAGTAGCATATGCTGTTAATATCGCAAAAACAACACTGCTAACTATACATTAATTTAAATAACTAACAAGGCATTTAAACTGTGGACAAAAAGCATCACAAGTAATCTTACAAATGTGAGATGAGCTAGCAGAAATCATTTTAAATAAAAAAATCGCACCTCAAATGTAACTGGTGAATTATTTTAAGCTGATACACAATTTAATGAGAATCTAATTCTTTTAATTTACATTCTAATTTATCATTGAAAAGTGTAATTTATGATGAAATTCGAAATTAATTTAGGATGGTCCACTCATGCTTATGAATGTGAAAAATTGGAACATTCAATATGGCGGCAATGGAAGTCCCGCTTTAATGTGCAGTCACATTAGTGAAATTCTGGCAAAAATGGTCCATAGTCTGTTGTCAATAGTGTTGTATGAAGCACAGCTCACACAGAAGTCACTTTCAAATCAAGAAGCTTTCCATTGGTCAACACTGCAAATTTGCATGATCAATGAACCCAATATGAAATCGGCATTAGAAAATCTTACGCCCGCATGAGAAATTCCTGAATGCGTGGATTCATACTGAAAATATTGCCTGCAAAATTTTGCTAAACAGTGGTAAATATGACCGCACCATTGTGACATTGCAATTATGAATTTTTCCCTGAATTCTGAGTTTACATCTCACTATTCAGATTTTTTTTCAGAACTTGTAGGGAAACTAAAGGGAATTGTTTAAACTTGTCTTACTGTAGGTAACAAAACAACATAAATGACTTTGAAAGCTTTTTGAAACAAATAAAAATACACAGACGGACAGCTAACCGAATGCACACATTTTTGTGATTCCCTTGACAACTGGCCTATAGCATGAGATACAATTAAAGACATGCAAATCTAACATTACAGCTCAACCTCAAGCCAGATCTAATGAGAGTTGACAACCTTTAAATGCACAGAATGAAGTTTGGTTGGATGCTATGAAACATGAAATTCTTTCCTAATGTAAGTTCTCTCTTATTTACATACTGCATGTTAACGGTCTATATAACATCTACGTTTCATGTCCACATGTTAGCTGTCTATAAGACATGAACAGCGTACAGCATGAATTGATGTTAATGATGCAAGTGACATGCTCAAATAAATACATTTTGAACAAACAAACGGGGAGAGACAGCTAAGCATGTCTATTGCAGAATAAAGTGCAAATGACACAAGCTTCTTCTTATTTGGTTGAACAGAGAACGACATCCTGGATGAGTCAGAACTGGCAGTCAGTCCCTTCTGCAGGAAAGTCATATTTAACAATCCATTTCGGAGAGTTTGAAAAAACATAATGGCACATTTAAAGCAGTCTTTTGAGTCTGTGAGTTGCTGGATTAAAGTGGGAGGAGTCTCGCTGATTAGTGACACATGAAAGCTGTACAAACAAAAAAACACTCCGATGCGTGAGGCGATTCTGAGGTCAGTTCATGCTTCACTCCACAAATTAATCAAGAAATAACTAACATAAATAATTTTTTTAACGGTTTCTCATACAAGCGATTCCACATAAGCATGGGCCCTCTTCATCACCCATTCTATGGGTTACCTTCTCCTCGCTGAGGGACTTCAGCTCTTTCAGTGCCCTGGGTACTGGGGAGGGGAATATGGCGGAGGAGCTGAAAACAAAAATAACACAACTTAGAGAAAATTGTTTTGATTGTCTGTGCTATTATATGCAAGTGTAGTGTTTTTATTTCCACTACACACTCTTAAAAATTAGTGCTGCTGAACGATTAATCGCGATTAATCACATCCAAAATAAAAGTTTTTGTTTACATAATATACAGTATCTCACAGAAGTGAGTACACCCCTCACATTTTTGTAAATATTTTATTATATATTTTCATGTGACAACACTGAAGAAATGACACTTTGCTACAATGTAATGTAGTGAGTATACAGCTTGTATAACAGTGTGAATTTGCTGTCCCCTCAAAATAACTCAACACACAGCCATTAATGTCTAAACCGCTGGCCACAAAAGTGAGTACACCCCTAAGTGAAAATGTCCAAATCGGGCCCAATTAGCCATTTTCTCTACCCGGTGTTATGTGACTCATTAGTGTTACAAGGTCTCAGGTGTGAATGGGAAGCAGGTGTGTTAAATTTGGTGTTATCGCTCTCACTCTCTCATACTGGTCACTGGAAGTTCAACATGGCACCTCATGGCGAAGAACTCTGAATAGATCTGAAAAAAAGAATTGTTGCTCTACATAAAGATGGCGTAGGCTATAAGAAGATTGCCAAGACCCTGAAACTGAGCTGCAGCACGGTGGCCAAGACCATACAGCGGTTTAACAGGACAGGTTCCACTCAGAACAGGCCTCGCCATGGTCGACCAAAGAAGTTGAGTGCACGTGCTCAGCATCATATCCAGAGGTTGTGTTTGGGAAATAGACGTATGAGTGCTGCCAGCATTGCTGCAGAGGTTGAAGGGGTGGGGGGTCAGCCTGTCAGTGCTCAGACCATACGCCGCACACTGCATCAAATTGGTCTGCATGGCTGTCATCCAAGAAGGAAGCCTCTTCTAAAGATGATGCACAAGAAAGCCCGCAAACAGTTTGCTGAAGACAAGCAGACTAAGGACATGGATTACTGGAACCATGTCCTGTGGTCTGATGAGACCAAGATAAACTTATTTGGTTCAAATGGTGTCACGCGTGTGTGGCGGCAACCAGGTAAGGAGTAAAAAGACAAGTGTGTCTTGCCTACAGTCAAGCATGGTGGTGGGAGTGTCATGGTCTGGGGCTACATGAGTGCTGCCGGCACTGGGGAGCTACAGTTCATTGAGGGAACCATGAATGCCAACATGTACTGTGACATACTGAAGCAGAGCATGATCCCCTCCCTTCGGAGACTGGGCCGCAGGGCAGTATTCCAACATGATAACGACCCCAAACACACCTCCAAGACG